ATAACGGTGTGACTTACGTGCTTGTCCCACCCAACCTGTGCCAAAGAACGTAACCCGCTGCCGAAGCAAATTTACTGTATAGGAAGTGTAAAGCAAAACTGACTGTACAGTGGTGCTCTATACATCCTCCACGCATTCGAACAAACACTAAATGTCGTTAGCGTATGCTGAATCGCACAGCATTTGATCAGCTGCTCACTCGGTGCTAATATTTCAGATACCACTGAATGAATTCTCCAGTTGAATAGGAATGAAACCCTTGACGAATGCCTCGACTGGTTCCAAACGATTCGTTTGTTTTGCCGCATACCCAAACGCTAGCAAGTGTGTCAGTACAAAGCATTCCATTTCGAAGAAGCGAACCCCATCAGGAATTTGCCTTAGGCGGAGTCGAAGGCTTCTTTTCCGATCAGGGAACACTGCGATCGTTGGTCGATGATACATCAGGCGCAACCGGAGGACCTGATCTAATCAGAAGAGTTCGTCAATACAACCGTCATCTGTTGGAGGAAACGAGCATGCGGTTTATGAGTACGCATAGTCAGATATCATAAGGGTGCCCGGAGAAGCAGTACCACACTTTCGTGTTGATTGGAACTGAACTTGAACAGACAGCTGTTGCTGGATTCATTTCTGAAAATCAAAACGGTCAGGGATTGACCCCGGGGATAAAGAGAAACGTTATTCCAATCAAACGGAGTGTAGTAAACTAGTAATGAAGTCACTCTTCTGCTTAAAAAGAATCGACGAAGCGCGTCGGACATACTTTCCTTTCTCTAGCGATGAGGTAGGTACAGTATTGTACTTCTACAACTACTCTCTGGGGATCACACATATAGCCGATGGGCTAGACACATTAACACCGGGCTAACTGAACTGTTTTCTCATGTACTTTGGCCAGCGATCAAGCCGTTGCTCATTGCCGTGGATGCGCTGCCCACTTGTATCGCAAATGGTTCCCCTGATCGGTATTCGATGATCTACAATCTATCTATCGATTCAAACAGTCTTTGATTAGGCTGTGATGAAGAGGCTACGTTCATTGTATTAGCTACATTGACCTATCAGTCTTCGTGAGCATTGTGAAGGTTTATCCGGTTCTGGTGTTCATCCTGGCAGATTGAAATCTCTCACTCTTCTATCAGTAGTACGACTCCTGGGAGGATCAATATCTTCGGTGCAGTTCAGGTTCAGGTTCATCTCTACATCTTTCGCCGAACGTAGTACAGATTTAATTTGGTCCCATTATTGATCTTTGGATTTGAAAACGGAAATGATCAATTAACTCATTCGGAGTGCAGGATTCCATTCGATTGGACATGGTCTTTGCGAATCGACAGGCACCGGAATCTTTCGCGGAGAACGCCAATCTCTTTTCTCCTCTGTCCGGTCCTTCGTCAGGCTTCGCAAACGGCAACATGAACGTTCCCCACTCCTTCCACAGAATCGTTTTTCTGATTTTGATCTCGGTCTTATTTCTACCTGGGACTCCATTACTCACTTTAGTATGGTTATCGGATCGGTTTTATGTTCTACTGCATCAAGATTTTACCCCTCTTTACAATGGTTCCCTCAGCCCTATCTTTCGTGGGTTTATTGGATAAACGACCAGTCATCAAGTTAGTGGGTGACCAATCCCAAAAACTTTTCTTCACATTATAGCGTTATCGTTTCGCACAGAATCAATCAACTAGTTCCGACCCGAAGATTCCCAACATACTACGGTCATGCACCGTAAGAGATAAGTCTTAATCAACGGACTAGCTCATATTTTANTAATCTGTTTGTGCTGGAAAATTTTCGAGCCTTTTTAAAACGGCTTTTCGCTGTACTGGTCATCAGAATGATTGAATGTATGCCGTATCATCAATATTTACACAGAGCTTCATTTCTGATCAATGAAAGAACGACAGCGACTGGAGGCCTCTAGGTTATTCACTGAAAAATGATCACCTACTCACCTTCAATGTCCATTTGAAATGCTTCTTGAAGAGAGTTCAGGAAACTCTGCAATGAGGAAAAATGTTACAGAGCCGTAAACTCTGGACGTCCGAAAAATACGTACTCCATGGTTCAGGATGAAAAAAAACTACGCTATTTCGTTTGTTACGAATCCAATCAAACCAGAAGTGTCATCAAGCACATCACATGAGGCAACCTGGCGAAAAGTGAGAGGCTCCCATCAAAGTCTGCATCCACTCAGTGCACGAATAATTCCCATTGCGGTCAGCAAATCACCAAACGATCAGATATCATCATTGCGGCTGTTTCAAATTATCAATTTATTTCCAGTATGCGGATAGTTTTCGGTCAACCATTCATAACTATATGTCTGTTGAGAGAGAAAAAACGGACAACGTACAGCATCACGTAGATTCAATAAACTATTTCAATCCACAAAGCTGCCGATATTCGGAGGACAAAGCAGTTTCAGTGATTAGAATAAAACAAAGTGTTATCTAACTACATCACCAAGATGCTCAGATTTGGAATAGATGAGTGAAGGTGATAAGATCCTACGTTAGAGGATGGTGAGCACACAGTGATCAATAATGACAAGATAAATGTGCACGAGTATCGAGCAGAGTCAAACGCTTGACTTCCAGAAGGGCTGATGATTGGTTTCCACCGTTTATTTGTACTTGCTTGTATTGAATGCATCTGAAGGCATAAATTTCAGGAACAGAGAAACGGCTAATCCCCGAATCACTCGAAATCATATTCTGTTAAAAACCGATTCGTCGATATGGAATGAACTGCCGAAAAGCAGTAGTAGTAGCAGCAGTAGTAATTTCTCCAAGTGAGAATTTATATTTTGTGTTCACACTTTGACTACTGTAGTTGTTTAAGTAGTCTGTTTTATAAATGACAATATGCATTGACTGCGCTATACCCAATATTCCATTCCAAATGACAGAATCTCAAAGTTGAACGATTATTTAATCAATGGCTGCTTGCTACTGTTCTGAAGCTTTATGTTTATGAGCAGAAGCTTCCGTATCACAATGTTACACGTTATTCTGTACCGCTGTTTGAACTTGTCTGTATGCTGGCGTAAAGTGACCGTGTCGCAGGTCTGTTTGAATTTATCGTCTTATGTATCGATTACCAATTTCCGGAAAACCACGGTTGATGTAGAAATAAAGCACCTCAGCCTACACCGTGTTTTATATTTCCGCCCAAGGACTAGATGGTAATGATAATTCGTTGTTTCTGCAGAAGCAGTCAGCAAAATACAGCTACTACAACACAATGTGAACTTTCGGAATGAAGGCCGTGACTCATTTTTGTATACATATTAGATAAAGCTCACCGGGAATGCTGGCAACGGAGCAAGGCTGCTCAACTGATTGTCCACAGTAGCATTGTTCCACAGATCTGGCCGAAACAGGAGAGCAGCTTGATCGGTTAGTTGCGCGTGTGCGTCCATAATCTGAACAGTCTCCTGACTGGGCGGATTCACGGTGCTCAAAGTGCCGGTGGCCAGGATCACCCGTTGCGGACTGAGTGCAATGCGTAAGCTCAGACTGGCTCGATAGATAATGACCACATCGTAGGCAGATAGGGCAAGCAGTACGATACCACGAACGGGTCGCAGTGTGGTACACATGAACGAACTCTGACAACGGATGGAAAGGAACAAACACGGTACAATCCAGCAGTGATTAGGGTTGTAGAACTAAGTAGGACAGAAAACTTTGCTGATCACTATACAGTTCATAACGCAATTAAAACAAGGATAAGCGGCTTCGGTTTTCCGAGAGTGGATCTGCTCTGAACAAGACGGGAGGGTGTGTGTGTGCAAGAACGTGACGGAATTTTCCTCAAAAGCAAAGAAGAATGCGATAAGAAGAAGCGTGAAATGCAGATTGAACCGCACGCGTTGAAAGTTGTGTACACAAATACATGCATGCAAACGGAAATATGAAGCGCTAATTTAAAAAAAACGATAGCTGAGTTTTTGGTCTACTGGAGAAAGTTGCCTCCCCCAGGTGATGAGACATTTATAACCTGATATCTATTTGTGACNTGCGAAGAAATGAAGATAACAAACGACTCTTGCTGAATTTCATTCGCGCCGTTAATTTCGATCAAAAAGAGATGAGAAACATTGCTATGATCACCTCCGTCCGTTGAAGAGAATCTTTCACAGTAGAAAATAAAAATAAGTCCACACTTCTGTGAAAGCACCGTTCGCTCTGAGGTGACAAATGAACCCATCTAGTGTAGTATATATGATTTATATGGAGGAGAACATTTCCGAATGTCCACTGTTTGCGTTTGTTTTTCTCAAGTNATACTCATGAATAGCGAAAGCTAGAGCAGCTTTCGCCACCATGACATCCGACTGTCCCTTAGGAGAAGAATGTACATCGCCGCGGTTCATAGCGTTCTACTTTACGGTTGCGAAATCTGGTCCCTCGGCGTTTACGTAATCGACCACCGATGCCTCCGGAGAATTACTCGTGTCTAGTGAGAACATCGGGTGAGCAATGACGAGGTCCGTCGTCATGCGCTGGGTGTGGATAGTAATGCTCTAACAGAAGTAATTCTTCTACACCGCCTCCGATGGCATGGTCACGCTTTGCATATACCCGCCCATCGACTACCTCGACGTGTTCTCTTCGCCTGTGCCGAACAAGACTGAAAGAAGCGCTGCAACGGTGAGACCATGACATAGTGTAGAAGCATGAAGAAGCTGGCTCCAGCTTTGGCTTCGATTGGCGCAACGCACTTTCCAGGTTCGGGGCCAAGAGAGGCGGATTGTCGTTTGTTAGAGATGCTGAGAGATATGATCCAGAATGGAAGTCAGTGGTGTGAATGTTGTATGGTCTGTCTGTCTATCAAAATCCCGTGCACCGTAAAAACAACAAACGAACGCGCAAAATATGAAAAAATGTACGGTAAAACACAAAACATTGTTATTCCCTTTATCGACCATTTTTCATTTTAATTGTTTCACCTTCTTTCTAGTTTGTTTTGTGTCCTAATCCACCTATTCCCTGTTATTGTTATTATTGTTGTGGTGTTGGTACTGTGTTTATCTACAAGCATATATATATATATATATATATGTATGTATGTATATACAGACGAAAAACTCCACACAGATGGGGATTTGAGCAAAAATATGTGAAAAATGCGTTATTCTGCATTAAACGACTCGCCAGTTCGCCGGGGTGGGAGAACACCAATGCATACCAACGAGTATTGAAAAAAAAACACATAGGCACGTATAGACCAACGCACGGAACGTACCTTGAGACTGTGGTTTGACAAAGTTCGGTCGCGGAGAGGTTCGATTGCTCGAACAAAGGACAAGGTATAGATCAGTGCCTATGATGAAATATACGGAACTGATGAAGCAAAACTGAAACAGTGAATAATTACATATACTAATGAGTGAGAAATTCAAGGAGAGCGGAAGAGAAAAAACCCTGAGGGCGGGGGGTGGGGGGTATGCGTCGTCTAAAAGTAACACATTTTCATCAAAATAAAAGTGACACACGTTCACTATCATCTGTTTGTTCCGTCCAAATACCTAAATGTGGTTGCTGAGTATTGTAGACAAAATGCACTTAGAACGAACCTTAAGCTTTCTATTATTTATATATTGTATCTAAATTGCTAAGGCACGAATGGAGCAAATGTTATTTGCAAAAAAACTATGCGATTCGAAACCATATTTCGAGTTCTGCTGTTTCGAATATTTGTCCAAGGTGAACGACCATGGGTTAACGACGTGTAAGGCTATCGGGGCCAGGCTTTTGGGAGTGTTCTAAACTAGGCCATGACACTACCAAAGCAAATAAATAAGTACGACAGGAGGAGAACCACCAGTCTAGATGGGTCTCGCTTCCACTCAGATTGAACGGAAATCGTGCTTCTATTGTCCCAAGAGGATGATCAAACAGGGGGCTTGAACAACCGGCTGATTATGTGTAAGCCCCTCGTCCCGACCGCAAGAATTTTATTTGCCCTTCAGAATAAATATTATGTTCACAGACAACAGACCATTTGTATATACGGTTCTCAAAAGACCAGTTTTGTGGAATTCAGAAATATTCCACCACAGTGTGTGCCTGGTTCCACATGTTTTTATTTTCTTTCCGACGTTTTCACAAAGCTCGAGCGAGCATTTGAACAACACAAGGGTTGATTTAGACAGCTGAGATAAGGTGAAGCGAGTGAGAATTGGGTGTATCGAGGTGAAGCNCCTCGAAAAAAAAACCGGGCCACAACCGAAATCGTGTGATGCGGGGTAATCGGGCACGATTCTCATCTTTAGCGGGAAAATTGTGAAGTCTCTGCTGCACCAATCAATCAAGAGAAGCGACCGGACAACTGCCGCATAAACCGAACGCTTCACGGGCAATCGAATGTCGTGGAGGTGCCGTAGATGCGTCAAATAAGCAAACCCTAACAAAACCTTCTATACACATACATAATATGAGTGTGGAGACATGTCATCTGTGGTGGATCTAACAGGTGAGGAGAATCTGTCCAAAAAGTTAGGATGAGGGGGAAAAAGGAATACAAATGACATTCAAGCACGCTGCAAAACCAATGAAAAGGAGGAATGGAAATGTATATTTTTGCTCGACTGATCTACTCGAAGGGTAGTGGCTTGAGTGCCAAAGAAGAATATCCACATCTCGTTGCCATNGTTGCCATACAAAGGGGAGTCAATAATGCAGCTTATCACACAGCGTATCAAAAACGCGTTACAAAGAACCTACTACGTTGTCACATTCAGACTCCATCCGGTCACACAGCGCATCCCTCTCCCCCCATTCAAAGATCGTCGTCCAGTCGAGTCTACCTCTCATTGCATTTTTGCGTTTTGTTGCAGCTGCAACGAAGCATACATTGGTAGAACCGACCGATCACTGCGGCCTAGAATGGCTCAGCACATCCCCAAGTATGTGCGTGATTCTATGACTCAGCCCACACCACCACTGACTCTAATCGCATCAGACACAGACCGGCTTCGGCCATTGCACGTCACCTGGTTGAAAGCGGCCACAGGGTAGACTTTGCGAACGCGTTCTCGGTTTTGTTACGTCCTCGAGACAAGTACCGACTAAGCATACTCGAGGCATTATCGATCGCTCACAACAAACCCTCTCTGTGCGTCCAAAAGCATAGGTCCCTTGGTGTTCCCTGGTTGTAACCGGTCACGTGCATCACACACACATGGTTAATACTAACTAGATTTCTTAATTCACTTCATTTGTCTATCTTGTTCGATGTTGTTATGCTTACGCGATCGATGAGAGAGAGTATACGAAAGGAATTCCTCTCGCAGTGTTTGTCTACTGACTTGCCTGTTCAAATTCATTACGGGATCCAAATGTTTCCGTTTTTGAGTGGAAATTGTATTGTTACTCGACTGATCTACTGAGCAATACTTAGCAGATTGATCGTTAACCAAAAATAGAATAAAATCAATAAAAACCAATCTCCGGAGAGGCATCTCGACCTCAAGCAGCGATACTCCTACTGACCATCTGTGTGTGTGTGATCCTCTACTCGACATTCCCACCCCGAGATAGTCCTCAGTTTCCCCATGCGATAAATTTCCGAAATCACAAGAGCTGAACCTAGTTATAAAAAGTGATGAATTAAAACAAAATGCGATTTAAATCTGTGTGTATGACAGACAACTGAGATTATGATGTTCGATCAATCTGGCATGAACGAAGAAACCTATTGGAACAAACAAACTGGTCGTGGATAGGTTCAACTTACCTTGCACAATGCAGGAACCGATTTGGATGCATTCAACAGCTCTTCCAAATGTTGTCGGATAATCAGATGTGGATTGGATTCGACTTCCAACCGAGGACCAGCGTCCACGGGGGCTGCGGTATCCTCTTCTCGATGAGTTGACATTGCCGGAGCAAAACCGAGCGATAGAGAGAATCCCCAACCGGAACGGTATGTGATTTCCGCCTGTGAATGTGGGGCGCAATTGTAGGGTTTAAGCAGAAACACAGTGAAACACTACAGGCTGATGAAATGTAACAAATCACGAACAACGACATTGAATTCAATGCTTTCAAATACAAACACCTATCCCTACGCCACAGGAGGGGCTTGCCGTATTTCCTCGGAAATCACCAGCTGCCACATACCTCAAATGAGAAGGACTTGGGTTTAATTGTTCAAGAGGACTTCAGCTGTTCGATCTGTTTCGCCAGGGCTTCGACCGCTGCTGTGAAGAATATCGGCTTGTTTAGGTGAGTCTTTGTCCTTTTGAATCAATACTGATCACACGTTTGCAAATCAGTGTACATTCGACCGTACAGAGAGTTCGCCATCCAAGCTTGGAGTCCATGGTTGCTATGTGATCGTAAGATGCGGAAGCATCCGCGAAGGATGTCCACCAAGATGGTCAAGCGATTGAACTGCCTCATATATGAGGAAAGATCATAACTATTGGGACTACATTCTGCTCGGTACCACCAAATCCGAGGAGACTTGATTGTAGCATATCAAACACTGGTGAACCCAAACCATCCATGTCGATCGCTGTTCACGTTATCGAACAATAGACAACACCTCTGAGGGTATCGCTTCAAGTTACTGATTCCAAAGTACCGACTGGAATTCCGGCGTCAATCTTTTGCAGTTAGAATGTGTAATACTTGGAACACCGTTTCATCTCACGTAATTTGTGTACTGATTTTGGAATCTTTGAAGAGGACACTTGAAGAAATCATCTCACATCGCACAGTGCTACACAACGAAAAGACGCAAATGATTTAAACACTTTATTACAGTCAATGTCCTACTATGTCGCACCCCTCGGGAATTCGAAAAATTGGGTAAACATCAGGAAGTGCGACATGGCAGTGTCACCAGTAGTAGGCGCTGATAAGTAGTATAAAAATCGGTTGACAGTTTTGTGACAAAATAAACCGGATCGATGAAAAGTAGGTTAATCCCGTTCGTTGGTTTTCAGGTGGCACCTTCCCTCAAATGCGCCAGCGTTCAAAAATTCCCCGATAGTCGTTCGATCGGATACAACATTGTAGACAGTTTTTCGGGAAATTCCAAGTGACTTGGCTACGGAGCTCTGAGTTGCACCTGGCTGTTTCAGCATTCTCAACACATTCTGCTTCTCTCTGATCGATAGGCTCTTGAACATTTTGACGTCAAATGACACTGTCTCCGATCGCTTGCATCAGTGTGACTTGCTCGCTGGGATTATCCAATCAGTGAACAGTGCCATGAACGCGTCACACTCGGTGCAACGCCATTGGTTGAGTGCGACATTTCAGGGTGGATAGTCAATGGTCGTCCCGAACATCGGTCAACGACCAAGTGAGTACGTATC